ATAGAATAAGCCAAAGATCACTGGCTAAGAAGGAGGCGGTTCGCCAGTTTATTGAAAATTTAAAAGGTACTGAAAGTCACTACAACCGTAACATATCAAAAAGAGTATATTTAAGTAGTGATATTTCAATACTCAAACTTCACAAGAGTTATAATGCTAGTGCAGAAAATCCCCAACTCCAAGTAAAGTTATCAATGTTTCGTAAAATATTCTACGGGAAGTTCAATGTTGGTTTCAAATCTTCGGCATCTGACGTCTGTGGGTACTGTGACATGATGGACTATAAAATTAAAAATGCTACAGGAACTCAAAAGAAGATACTTTTTACTGAAAAAAGAATACACAAGAAAACGGCATAGTGTTTCTATGACCTAATGAGAGAAACCAAAGAAAAAGAGAAAATTTTATGCTTTGACATGCAGCAGGTCTTTATAATGTTTGTGTAACAGATATTAAAAATGACAACACCCCATACTTTTATATCTGCAACGAAGAGCAAGCAGGGCGCTTACCTAAAATCAGTGACACGAAAATAATTTTCATTGAGAAAGTTTGTGACAAAGAAAAAATTACAGGTATGGGTTAAAGGCAATGAATTCTATCGGTTTGAATCAGAGCTACACAAATACAGCCTTCTAAAGCAACACACGACTTGGAAAAAAATACTGGAAAATTCTTTGGTCTTCTTCTTTAAGTTCCATCTTCTGTCGAAGGTTGGAAATCATCATGGCTATGCGGACTCTGTTGACTGCCGCTCTAAAAAGTTCTGCACTACTGCATTCAAACCATTCCCTTAGGTTCTTAAGCCAGGATATTCTTCGTCTTCCCACATTTCGCTTTCCTCGGCTTTTTGCCCTGCATAATAAGTTGTAATAATGCGTATTTTTGCCCTCTCATCACATGTCCCAAGTACTCAAGTTTTCGTCTTTTAATAGTTAATATTATTTCCGCCTCATTTCCTATCCTTCTAGTTACTTCCATGTTTGACATTCTTTGAATCCATGATATTCGTAGGATTCTTCTGTAACACCAAAATTCAAAGGCGGCTAGCTTATTCAGATGAACTTGTTTTAGTGTCAAAGCTTCCAGACCATAAAGAAGAGTAGAGAACACGTAACATCGAAGCATTCTCAGGCGTAGTTCTAACCTTATATCCCGACAACAAAGAAACTTTTTAAGTTTAATAAATGATGTACGTGCTATTTCAATACGTGTCTTAATTTCTTTGGTTTGGTCTACATCTGATGTTATCCATGTTCCTAAATATTTATAGTTATTAACATTCTCAATTGCAGTATCTTCAATAGTCAATTGGATATTTGCATGTGCAGATTTAGTCATGATCATGCATTTAGTTTTCTTTAAGTTTATCTTCAGTCCGTACTCATGACAGCGTTCATTAAGGCGTTGCATTAGGTTCTGTAAATCATTGTTGTTATCCGTAATTATTACTGTATCGTCTGCAAAACGTAAGTTATTCAAAACTTCTCCATTGATAGATATACCTTCTATTGAGTCTGAGAGCGCTTCTTCAAATATCGCTTCACTGTAGACATTGAAAAGTCGTGGGGACAGCACGCAACCCTGGCGGACTCCTCTCTGTATTTTGATATTTTCGGTGTACTGGCTGTCAACTCTTACCTTGGCAGTTTGATTCCAATATAAATTAGATATAATTTTCAGATCACGACTATCAATATTTTTGCTTTTTAATATATCTACAAGCTTTTTATGTTGAACTTTATCAAATGCCTTTTCAAAGTCTACAAAACTTATGTTTATATGTACATATCCTGATTTATGTCCATGCATCTCTGAGCCAGCAAATTCAAGCCGAACAAAGCATCTCTTGTACTCATACCATTTCTAAAGCCAAATTGTGTGTCACTAATCTCATATTCAAGAGTTTTAACAATTCTGCTGTGAATTATTTTCAAAAATGTTTTAAGTGTGTGACTCATTAAAGCTATTGTTCTGTGGTCTGAGCAAGTTGTTGAACTTGTTTTTTTGGGAATTGCTACAAAGGTTGATTGCAGCCATTGTCTGGGGATTGTGGCAGTCTGATATATTAGATTAAAGAGTTCAACCATTACATCAATAACATCTTCATCGATGAGTTTTAATAATTCGATGGGCACCTCATCTGGTCCAGTAGCTTTACCCTCTTTTGTGTTTTTGATGGCATAGATGACTTCTTCTCTTAATATTGGTGGTCCAGTATACTCGGTGATTTCTAATGACAGTTCTTCTCTTTCATCATTAAATAGTTGTTGAATGTAATTGGTCCAGTGACATAATCTCTCCTTCATATCAGTAATAATATCCCCTTTATCATTTTTAAGGATATTCGTTTTTGTACGCTTTCTAGAACCTGTCATTTCTTTGATTTTTTTGTGTAAATTAAAGCTATCGTACTTTTTATCCAGATCTTCTATTTCCTTGCATCTGTCGGAGAGCCACCTCTCTTTTGCCTCTCGAATTTTCTTTCTGATGTTTCTCTGAATTTCTTTGTATTTATTCAGGTCTTTTGCTTTATGTTTTCTTCGTTCTTCCATGAGTTCAAGAATTTCTACTGTCATCCAAGGTTTTGTTTTTTCTTTAAGTGGTTTGAGGGTTTCTTTTCCAACTGACACAAGGGCATGTTGAATTTTTCCCCATTTTTGGTCAATAGTTAGAGTTTCTGCATTATCTTCTTTGACTTTCCTTAAGCTCTCGTTTATTTTAAATTTGGTTTCCACATATGTGTTGTCTTGTTTGAGACGTCTTGTATCTATAATTTTCTTGGTGCTAGGGCTGTTGACCTTCTTTAGTTTCACTCTCATCGACAAAACAACCGGGTTGTGGTCGGAGGATATGTCCGCTCCTGGATAAGTTTTAGATGATATTATAGAATTTCTATATCTTCTGTTGACGATAATATAATCTATTTGATTTCTGACTATTTTGTTGTTATTGTCAGCTGGTGACCTCCTTCTTTGGTACAAAAACATTATTGTTGCTCCAAATGTAAATGGACCTGAAGAAGAGGAGGAAGTTGTTTGTGACTGTTTAGAAGAAGACTGTGCCCATCACGTATAATACCTAGACTATTATCTAAAGGTTTCACTCCATATTTTTCACTATACCATAAGGTTTCACTGTACTATTGTGAAAAAGGGTAACTATTTTATTATAATAAATAAAATTTTATTTTTCATATTGTGAAGAACATATTTTTTACTTTACTTACTAGTTTCTGTAAGTCTTAAAACAGTCCTAAAACTGAGTCCAACCCTACACTAAAATAAATAATCTTATGCTTAACTATAGTAAATTGATTTGATCAAAACACCACATATCCAAACATGTGACATGTGTTTCATGCATAACCCCACATCTAACAACTTTTATATTATATTTTTAATTTGTTATACCACTTTCTACACAAGTAAGAGTTTTCTTAGCTCAAAAACCAGTACTGAACTATAACTTTATTACATAAAATATGTTTTGGTGAAATCATTATCATCATTATCAACTAGCCTCTAACGTCCACTGCTGAACATAGGCCTCTCGCATGCTTTTCTACTTAGTCCGATTTTGCGCCATCTGAATCCAATTTGTAGTCACTCTTTTTATGTCATCTGTCCATCTCGTTGGGGGTCGACCTCTATTTCTATAAGCTTGTATTCGGGGTCTCCATTACAAAATTCTTTTTGTCCACCGGTCATCAACTGATCTTGCTACATGAGCTGCCCAGTTCCACTTTAGTGCTGTTATCCTTTCAATAACGTCTGCTACTCCTGATCTTTTGCGTATAGTAGCATTGGGTATTCTATCACGTAGAGAAATCCCTAACATAATTCTCTCCATTGCTCTTTCCGCAACTTCTAGTTTACTCACTGTTGTTCTTGTGAGCGTTAGGGTTTCTGCGCCGTAGGTCATCACAGGCAAAATACATTGATTAAATACTTTTCTTTTGAGACACATTGGAATCTTAGACCTAAAAATATCCTTCATCCTTCCAAATGCAGCCCAAGCGAGGTTTATTCTTCTTTTGATTCTTCAATGTTCTTCTACATCATATATTGTAAGATATATTTTCTCTAATGATTAATACCGAATAATGACTCTATCGCACTCTACTAAATAAAGGTTTTGTTTTTCTGTATCATTCATATTCTTCATCCTTATGCCATTCCTCTCCTGATGTCATAAACTTTTTTCTGGTCAATAATACCGAAGAAATTGTCGGACACTTTTCTACCAGGAAGTAATCTTTGCTTTTTATACTATTTGGTAATTATTGGCTGCTTTTAAATGATAATTAAAAAGTTCTTCTTTTTTCAATTTATATGATTGCATTAATGACTTTTCGATACGAGTATGATTACGTGTTTTGAATTGTCTCTCGTTTACTGTCGTTCTATTTGACTTCTGCTATTGGGTATTTGTGATACAGCTTTGAGTTCCTCCTCATATTCGATTACCTTTTTGATTGTTAATTTATGTCGTAGATGCACGCCTCCGGATGGTTCTTTATTTCCTTTAAAGCCATATTTACTTCTCACATTGTGATGGGTAAAAGTACTTCAGATTCCTTAATTATAAGAGTACCTACTCTTTTTCTTCATCTTCTTTTTATGTGGATATGACTCTGTTTGTTTTTCAATGTGTCTCCAGTAAGTTGTCTTTCTATTTTTTCCGTGGTCTTCCTACTAATCGTCTTCCTGTTAGGGAATCGTCTCTTGCCACCTTTACTACTCTATCTGTTGTCGTTCGACTTATATGATCGTTCCATTCTATTTTATTTCTTACCCAGTTCTTGATTTTCTCCACTTTGCATCTACGTCGTACATCTGTACTTCTAGCTCTGTCCCATAGTGTCTTACCATCAATTTTTTCAAGTGTTTTCATCTCTGTTATTTCTTAATGTCCTCTCAGTGTGAGGTAGCGTTTCTGTCGAGTTAATCCATCGTTTATTGCTATATATTGCAAAAAATCCACAATTAATAACAAAATTAAGGGTATAAAATTTGATTTTATTAATAAAATATCTACAAATATATAATCTTTGATCGTCTTTGTACATGTAATACAAGAATAATAAATTTTAACCATCAATTTTGATGCCTAACAACCTTCTCTATATGAATCACATCCAGCCAAATGATAGGTACACTCAGCGTTTATAAATTTTGGTATCAATACTAAAATCTGTACAAATTTCTTTGCATCTAACACAATGATAATATGATAATATTTAATTGGAAATTTCCGGCAACACTCCACGATTTCCACTTGGTTCAACTGCTATTATTGATTCTAGTTGCAAAATTAGGAAATTTTCAATAACGGTTTGAGCTGCAACATAAAAATATAAAATTAATATAACGTTTGCTTTTATTCAAAATTTGACTGTTAAATAATATTTTATTGTTAAATAATATAGGAAATATTATGAGTTTAAATTTAAATTTTCAATGTAGTAATCTAGAATCCTAATATTTATTTCAAACACACCATTTTATACACTTTACTGCATTGAATTAAGAAATAAAAAGGAATAAAGCGATGGAATCCCAGCAAAAATGATGAAAGAAGGCGGAGAAGAAGTCATCACATATCTAAAAATACTATTTAATAAATTAATATAAGGTTGAATGCTCGAATAAATTAACTTTGATAATATACAAGGCAATAAGGCAAATATCAAGCACAGTATTAATTTAATCTTGCCCAAGTACTTTCGATCACTAGATCATCTTCAGGGGCATTTCGTCAATTGCGGCCTATCCAATAAGAGCAAAAATGTCATAAACATAAAATAGAACATCACAATACACTACACAAATACAAACAAACACTTTAAAAATTTTTGAAGATAGGTGAAGCTACATGGTGTATAGAAGCCGGAGACCGAATAAACCAAAGTGTTTAATTCCTGTATCCTGTATTCTGTAAATATTGGAGAGCAAAGTTTATTGTGGACAAAAATAAAAAAAGATAAGATGGGTCATAAAAGGAAATTCTAATAAAATTTGGAGAAATATAGTTAGCATTATTAGAGATATTGCAATTAAAAAACCGGAAGAAACCTCAGAAAAGAGATTTATGAATAAAAAGACATGGTGGTTGCCAAACGAAATCCAAGAAAAAAAATATAAAGGAGGAGAAAATTTAATAAAGACTGACGCGACAATTAGTCTGGACTCAATCTCCAAAATTTTAAAGTTGGCAAAAAGGAGGGAAAAGTACAAAGGGAGAAGAGAATAAAAATCTATACGATGAACTTGATACCAGACGGTGAAATAAAAATATATGAAACAGTCAAACAGTGAGCAGAGAAAGCATAACAATTTACTCGAATTGTATCATAAACCAAAATAATAAAATACTAGTATACGAAAAGGATGTCGAAAGGCATAATGCAAAAAAGCAGTTCTTTGCACTAATTTATAAATTTTATTAATTTTATTATTAACAAAATATAATATTATTAATACATTTGAACATCGAGGAATTACCGTTTTTTAAATTTGTGCGAAATTTCTACCCGATCGGTCAAATAGTTATTTAATTTATTTATCCCTGAGGCTAAATATTTAAACTATTGAACTTGCTCTATTAATGATGCTAGAACACATTTAGAAAATTTAATAGGATTCTTTAAGACTTAAACTATCTCAGAAATTGCAAAATACGCATATTGCGTTTTCATCGAAATTATTTACAAAATAAATTTTTAAAAAAAGGGTATGTTTTTTACTTATAAACAATTGTAATAACTTCTATATTTTTTAAGCTACAGACCTGTACGTACAACCATTGGATAGCTGGTAAAAAAACTCGAATTTTAAAAAAAGACAACCTTCTATGACCAATAGGAACGAAGTTAAGGATTATTTTTGAAAAAATGATATCTCCATTTTTTATAGACATTAAGAAGGAAATTTTGCACAAATTTTGTATCCAAAATCAAACTTTATATTGAAACTTATAGCTATAAAATTCATCCAATTTTTCGAAACTTGCAGCCCTTTGAAACGAAGGTACTTTCGATCGATTAAAATCGACATGGGAAAGTGGAGGGGATATCTGTTTCAGCTAAAATTTACAAAATTTACATTATATCCGCTTCCATTGCGGCTAGAAGCCTCTTGACATAATTTTCATCCCCCCCCCCCCTAAAATCTCGGAAAATCAAAATATATTTTTTTTTATTTTATATCAATGATGTAATAATACTTATATTTTTATAAATTAAAGTTCAGGTAATTTTTTACACATTATATTATTATATTCTTTATATTAATTATAATTATTTACTACTTTATCGATCTATATGTTTATATATGTGTATAGGTATATGTACAGTACGAGGACGGTAAATACATTTATTCGTGTTTTTAGATCTAAATATATCCAAAGATCACAGAGTATACCGTCCTCGTGTCAATACATTATATATATATATATATATATATATATATATATATATATATATATATACTTATATATATATATATATATATATATATATATTAAATGTAATCTATATAATATAAAACCGGTAATATAACTTGGTATGTGTAAAAAAGGCGGGATAAGCAGCAGCTACCACGCTATAAAATTTCGTCAAAATAGTCCCTATTGGCCATAGAAGGTTTTTTTAAAGAGTTTTTTTATCAGTTATCAATAGTTGTGAGTTGTATAGAAGATTTGGAGAACCTGACGTTGTAAAATTCATTAAGGTAGCTAGCCTCAGATGGATAGGTCATGTAATCAGACAAGAGGAAGATGCCATAGTCAGAAAAGTTTTTGACCGAAGATGGCCGATCGGACAACGAAGAAGAGGAAGACCGAGACTTGGGTACCAAGACAACCTAGAAAATGATTTGAAGTATATCGGAATTAGAGCATGGAGAAGAGTTGCCAGAGACAGGGGCGAATAGAGGATTGTTCTGAAGAAGACTTTGGCCCATAAAGAGCTGTAACGCCACTGATGATGATGATGATGATCAAATAGTTATACGTACAAGTCTGTAGCTTGAAAAATATAGAAGTTATTACAATTATTTATAATTAAAAAACATACAACTTTTTCAAACGTTTATTTTGTAAATAATTTCGATGAAAACGCAATATGCATTTAACTTCTGAGATAGTTTTAAATCTTAAAGAATCCTATAATTTACTTAATGTGTCTAACATCATTAATAGGGAAAGTTCAATAGTTTAAATATTTAGCCTCACGGATAAATAAATTAAATAACTTTTAAACTATTTGACTGATCGGGGGAACATTTCGCACAAATTTAAAAGACGGTAATTTCTCAATGTTCAAATGTATTAATAATATTTTAGTTTGTAAATAAAAAAATTAATAACATTTATAAATTAGTGCAATAAAACTGCTTTTTTGCAAATATCTCTGTAAATTATTTATCAATTTTAATTTAAAAAACGGGAAAATATAGATATTCTTGATATAAAAAAATGATATAAATATTGTTTATGTAAAATATAAGGGAAAAAACTTTGTGATTGTGACCATAAATTATTGTTTAAAAAACGCAAGGTAAAAATAGGAGTACTTTTTCTTCTATTCGTCATCTAGTAACCCCACCTATGTCTTAAAAGCTTCAGATATCTGCGAAAAATTTATCGACTTTTTTTTAACCAGACTGGGCTAAGTTATTTATGGTGTTTTAAAGTCAAATTTGGATATAATTTTTGTTTAGGTTACAGGGTGTCCTTAGAAAAATCTGTTAAGAAATACACTTTTATGGATTTTCTAATAGACAAAAACTCTTTCTAATGAACTGAATGCTGTCTTAAAGTTGTGTATTAAAGTAGTGAATTGCAAAAAAACCGTGCGTTGAATACTAACCTGTTTACAACTCTTTGTGAAGATTTAGGGAGTAATCACAAAATACTGCTATTTCATACAGAAGTACTAATCTTGTAATAGACAATACAACGATTGAGCGTGTGCCCTGTTATAAATATCTAGGTGCTTGGATCACAGACGATACTGATCAAACAAAAGAGATTAGATGTAGGATAGAAATCGCTAGATCAGTCTTTAATAGAATGCGCAAACTCTTTTGCAATCGTGATATCAATATAAAGTTACGAATACGAATGCTGCGGTGTTATGTCTTTTCTACCCTGTTATATGGAGTTGAGGCTTGGACACTAAAACAGTTGACCATAAAAAACATCGAAGCTTTCGAGACGTGGTGCTATAGGCGCATTCTCAGAATATCATGGATGGACCGCGTCACTAACACGCAAGTACTCCAAACTTTAGACAAAAGATGCGAAATTCTTAATGAGATAAAAACTAGAAAGATGGAATACTTGGGGCACATTGTGAGAGGTGAAAAGTACGAACTTTTAAGAAACATCATGCAGAGCAAAATTAAGGGCAAAAGAAGTGTGGGAAGAAGAAAAATATCGTAGCTTCGTAATCTACGTGAATGGTTCGGGTGTAGTTCGATTGAACTTTTCAGGCGCGCTGCTAACAAAGTCGCAGTGGCCATGATGATTTCCAATCTCCGCTAGGAGTGACACAAGAAGAAGAAGAATACAGAAGTACGATAGCTCTCAAAAGGAAACATGTTGGCAAGATTATTTGACCTTCGAGATGAAGTAATCACCTTCTTGGAACAGCAAAAGCAAAATGAACTAAGCGTGGCCTTCAAAAAACATTGTACCCATGTAATATTGGCTTATTTGTCAGAAATCTTTGACTCGTTGAACAGCCTTAACCTAAAACTACAGTGGAGATTCAAATATAGTTACTCATCGTGATGCGATCAAGATATGTGTTGAGAAATTGCAAGTTTGGAGGCGTAAAATATTAGCAAACCCCTGAAATTATTCGAGTTTCCCTAAAATAGAGTCAATCTCAAAGAAACACGCTTCAAGGACATTTATGAAGGATCAAGTTTGAAAATCCAAATATCAAACCATTTGGAGAGCCTAATTGAAGTTGTCCCATGTCAATTGACCCATTCCATGTCAATATAGACTCCCTGCCTGAATCACCTCAAGAAGACGTTTTGCAAATAAAACATGATTCCTCTGCCAAATACAACTTTGATATAATGGGATATAACTTCATTTTGGTTAAAATATTTCAAAGTGTATCCTAGTGTATCACGGGATGCTCTTCGTTTATATTTACCTTTTTCAAGCATCTATTTGTGCGAAAAAGCATTTTCAACACTTCCTAGGCCCATACAATTTATTGTTAAGGGCTGGGGGCGCGAGAAAGTTTCATTTCGACAAAAGGGGGCGCGGTACAAAAAAGTTTGGGAACTCCTGGTTTAGATAATCTACTAATCAGGATTTCA